ACAATCGCATCTACCACCCAGTGAGAAAGCCGCTGACATGAAATAGGACTCCCTCGTTTATTGTCAGCCCAAGAGATGAAGAGCTGATTACTCCTTCATAACAGTCTTGCCTTCTGCACATAAACATTCAAAGAGCGCACCAGGCATAAACAGTGTAACCACTCTTCCTCTTAAGGAAGAAAAAGGCAGTGAGAACGCTAACAATTCCACAGATCTATTTGCTCCTGTTGTGTCCCTGACCTTGGGAACAAATGCCGGGTTAGTTCTTAATGTAACTTTTGATCCATCCGAATCAAACTGCATACAGGACCGATGTAATGACAAAGCGTGTAATTAACTTATGCACTTTGCTGTAGTGAGAACGATCAACAAAGGAGTCTTTAAAGAAAGACGCCGCAAATCAATACCCTCTAATGGTTCAAAAGGAGGCTGCGAGAGCGCATCCAGAACCACTGTTAAGTCCCAGGATGGGATCAGGGATTTAGTGACCGGACTTGACATAAATCGACATATCAGGGGGTGCTGACTTATCATTCCCGAATCCAGCCCCACATGACATGCTGAAATAGCTGAAAGATAGACCTTTACAATCAAAAAGGCTCTACCTTTATCCAATAGTTCTTGCAGAAAGCAAAGATCATCCGATACAGAGCATAAGAACAAAATAATATGCCTCTCTGCACACCACCGTTCAAACACTCTCCATTTATGACCATACAGAGAGCGTGTGGAGGCTGCCCTCGCACTCTGAATTGTGTCAATCACGTTATAGGGTAACCCGATGGCATCTAAATTCATCCCTCATGGGCCAAGCCCACAGAGCTACCTTGTGGGGTGCGGGATGAAATATCTCCCCGTTCGCCTGAGAAAGAAGGTCCCTGCGCAACGGGAGAGGCCAGGGTTGATCGTAAAGAAGTGGAATTATTTCCACTATCCACAGTTTACCCGGCCAATACGGTGCAATCAGAATCAGTGAATGTCTGAATTCCCATACTCTTTGTAATATTGGCCCGATATGACTCAGCGGGGGAAACACGTACAACAATGTGTTAGGCCACGGGTGGGCTAAAGCATCCACACCCAGTGGTATATCTTCTCCCGCTAGGTAAAAAAACAGAGGGCACTGCACGTTTACGCACGATGTGAAGAGATCTACGGCAGCCTGTCCGTATCTCTGCCACAACTAAATCACCACCTGTGGGTGAAGTGCCTATTCTCCGTAATGGGGATTTCCTCTGGACAACAGATCCGCCCCCCCTGTTCATTGTTCCCGGCACGTGTGTTGCACGAAGCGACAGAAACCGAGTGCTGCTCCACACAATTAGTCTGTGAGCTAGACTGTGAAGCTGTCGGGAGCGCAGACCCCCTGTCTGTTTATGTAAGCCACCACCGTTGTGTTGTCTGATCTGATCAGCACATGAAAAAAAGGAAATAAACAAAGTGGTTTAAGGCTAGGCACACCGTTAGTAGTTCCAGGTAATTCATGTGGTTTTCCCTCTGCGAAGGAGACCACACCCCCCTCACCGTTCTGCCTTTGAACACTGCACCCCAGCCCCTAAGAGACGCATCCATCATCACTACCTTCCTTAGAGTGATCGGACCTAACACAGTCCCTTTCCTGAGAAAGGAGGGGGCTCTCCAGTGATGTAAAGCCCTCACACTCTCCTCTGTCACTCTCTGAGGCGCGAGCTCCGAGTCGCTGTCCAGCGCTGAAATTCTCTCATTCTCAACAGCCCCAGGGGAATTACGGCCACTGTGGAGGCCATCAGCCCCAGTAACCTTAGACACATCCTGAGAGGAACCGATCTCCCTTTCTGAAAAAGAGAAATGCAGCTGTGGAATGACTTGATGCGTTCCTCTGATAAGAACACTCAGTATAGCACTGAATTCAGTCTGAGACCCAGATAGTTTACCTCTTTCTTTCTCAAGTCACACTGTTGGCGCATGGCCATGACAGTCGAACCAAACAGTGCCTTGGGACCTACGGGGGCATTCAGAAAATCCACTTGAGAGACTGAGCCACAACGCTCTTTCTCCCACCACAGCAAGCCTCATACTCCTGCCACAGCTCTGAACTGTCCCACGTGATGTGCGGAGGTTCAGATCGGCAATCAAACAGATCTCCTCCCAAAGGGCTGGTTGTGGAGAGCCTGTATCCAGCTGACGGCCCATCTCCTCCAACAGCTCTGCCTGGTATGCTGTCAGAAGAGATGTCACATTAAGTGCCCTGACGGCCAAAGCAGAGGATTGATATATCTTTTGAAAAACCGAGGCTGAAAACCATTCCGTTTTCCCAGGCAGTGTGGCGCCCGCAGACGAAAACGCTGCCCTGCGTCCTGGATGTGGATGGTTAGCTACTGAGTGCTCCACCGGAGGGGGGTCAGCTAACCCCAGCTCCCCCATATCCTGAAAGTCAAGTCGTGCAAAATTCTTAACAGGCAAACAGTGGGAAAACAGTTTGTTCCAGTGTCTTTTCATCTCCGCCATGCATGCCGGGACAGCTGCGCTGAACTGTCTAACCGGCGCTAGGCATGATGGCAGTCTCTTACCATCATAGAGATCCCTTTCTGTCCCTTGACCAACCTGCTGAGAGGGCCGGTCAATGGAAAGTTTGGCCAATGCCCTGCGGCAAACTTCCAACAAGTCTAACTCAACAGCAGGGAAAGTTGGGGGCTCCCCACTCTGGTTGCTTGGTGGACGAGATGCATTAGGAGGGAGGATGGCATCCTCCTCCTCCTCTTCATCATCCTCTAGAAGATGGGGGATAATTCCTCATCATCATCGTCATCCTCTCCTGTCACACCCGCAAGGGCATCACCGAAGAGGGGGGGGGGCAGATCAGGAGCCTGTACATCCATGATATCACCCCAGGTACTAGGCTCTTGTGGCTGCTTAGCTGTCTCCTCTCTGGGCTGAGTCTGAGAGGAGAAGCATGGGTCCTGGTTTCCTGCTATTGCCACCCTGAGTCTCCTCTCACAGGTTTTTTCAGGACAACTAGAACAAATAGAGCAGCCCTCTGGGGTAGATATAGCAGCTTGGGCATGCTTGACATCCAAACATGTTATACAATGAGGATGTGAATCCTTAGCTGAGATCCATAGACCACACGAGCACATGCGAGGGGGAGCATCTTTCCCGCCGAGCTATCTGCCTTTCTAGCTGCGGCCATAACTCTCTTCACCTTCTTCGTAAGGTAAACTCTCACTGTGACGTGTAGGTTTACCCCCCGGAGCAGTGGTACGCAGAGTTATTTTATTTTAATATTTTCCCTGTATCCAACACAAACTAAATCGTATTCAATCTGAAAACAGGCTGTTTATTCCCGAGAGTGGAGAAATTTCGCCTTGATGCGGACGTTTTCCCACGTTTTCCCAGCATGAGAAAAAGATACCCAGCTAACAGCTATATACGATTTGATGCGTTTGCAACGTCACCAGCCGGCTTCGTCAGTAAACAGTTGAACGGTAAATCCGATAATGCGTCAGTTGATCAATCTTCACAGGGAAGCAAGCGAGAATGATGCGGCAGCGGGCTGCAGTGGGTCATATACCAGGGAGGCGAGACTCCCTGATCGCTGCAGCAATTGGTCTGTCAGTCTGACAGACGTGGTGTAATTGGTGCTTCCGCAGTTGGTCACACCTGAGGCGTTCCCATCGTGAGATACCGAACGGATGATAGAAAAAGAACATCCCTAATGTTAATTTTTGAGCTCATGTTAAATAGTCCTTGGCTACTGTTTTAGCAAGCCTAATCAGCCTTGCCAGGTCCCTTTTGTGGGTTTCAATTCCTCTTTTGACAACAGTTGCTTAAAGTCTGTAGGCATCTAACATTCAAAAGGGTTTCAGAGAAAAACTCACCACCTACTCAGAGATTAGTCATGGAGTCAACCTCCTTATCTTCTCCATATTGAAAGTATTGTCGAGGACTTTACCCTCTCAAACGTCTCTGTCTCTATCTGTTTATCTCTTTTTTTCAAATGCTGTTATCCAGTTTTCATTGCGCACATGGCAAAGACTGGTAAACCATCATTACTCTACTGCACCTCAACACTATACTACTTATAGACTTTGATTTATTTTGGTATTAGCACAGACTGAAATAACATTTTATTTAATTCAAAGCGAGATGTCAGGGCCTCAGAGATCATCATTTTCTGGCTGGCAGCCGCATAGTATTGATTCCCTCTTAAGCCTCCATCCTTCCGGTTTTCACATCAATCCCTGCGCAAACTTCTCCATCTGTTTGAAATTTGTGATGTAAGAATATATTTTCTCATTAAATAAATGATAGTTCATTGTCAGTTATGCAGAAATTTAAAAACCTACAGACTGACATGCACTTCTGGAGTCAATAAGATTTGAAAGACATTAAATTGATCAAAAGTGGCAGAAATGTCATATCTTTACTATTTCAAATAACTGCAGTAATTTTGAACTTTAGCAAAGAATCTAGAAAAAAATGTATCATGATATCCACAAAAATATTAAGCAGCGCATCAACATTGATAATAATTAGAAATGTTTCTTGAGCAGCAAATCAGCATATTATAATGATTTCTGAAAAATCATGTGATAATGATTGAGTAATGGCTGCTAACTAATTTAGCTCTTAAAATATAAAACAGTTGTTTTAAATTCCAATAATATTTTACAAGATTACTGTTTTTACTGTATTTTTGATCAAATAAATGTAGCTTTGATGAACAGGTTTCCAGTGTGGACTACCTACTGCAGTGCTGCAAAAATGACCAAAACGACTGACAAAACAATATGTCATAGTTAGTTAGTCAAAAGATTTAGATTAACATTAAAAACATAGCTTTCATTGCTTTGTTGTGTCTTGTCTGGTTAGGTCACAGTGTCATATTGTAATTTCATACCCAGTTATACAGCTGGGATGCGCCGGAGGTGTGTGCCTTATATAGATTTAACTATGCTAATTGGAGTAGAAAATGTTACTTCTGGCCATTGCTGCACTCAAATGTTCCTGCTTACCATAATCATGCCTTATCTGTAGGATGGGAATGGAGCATGATGGTCAGGGCAACCGCTGCGGTGACGAAACAGCCATGGGAAGTGTCATGGCCCCTCTGGTGCAAGCAGCCTTCCACCGCTACCACTGGTCGATGTGCAGTGGGCAAGAGCTGAAGAGATACATTAAGTGAGTTCACACTTCTCTCTTCTCATACCTCACTATGTTTTATCTAAAAAAACTGGAAGGCCTTGAACTTATGTGCATATTTTAAATAGAAATGTGTCTCCTCACAGGTATGCCTATGATGTATATTGCTCATGGGTTACTTGAGCGTAAATATTGGCCCTTGTTTTGACTGGAGCTCTGCTTTGTTTGGTGTCACCTTAGGGTCAGTTGACTGTTTGTTTACCTGAATTAGTCACCAAATGGTTGCTTGCTGCGAGAGAGTAGAAAGGTGAGATCAAAGGGCTTTAATTTAACTGGACAGTGGGTTGTTGTGATATCTTTCAGTTTACAAGCAGTGTGACCAACGAGGATTAACTCTAATGCAACCCATAATTGCTGCTTTAGCCATGAAGATGATGGTATTTGCTCCATTGTTCCAACAGCATATTAACTAAATTGTGCAATGGTTTTGTTTTTATAAGAAGCACTTTACAAATGTGTTTGAGCTCTTTTTAATTTCTGTTTTGAGTCTGAACCTCATTTGAAGTCATAGCCAGACAATTTTTAAATAATATGGCATATTTGAACAGATAACTGTTTCATCTGCATGGGTACTTTGATGAAAAACAAATCACACGCACACACAAAAATGGACATTCATGGTTTGTTTCACAGACCGATATGTTGTGTTCTGCACCTGGGACACTTTGAAGTCATTGTTTATATGATAAATAATGTAAAAAGGTACTCTTTTTTTCTTTAAAGAGATACTACACATAAAAATGCAATTTTTGCATCATTTACTCACCCTCATGTAATTTCAAACCTGTTTGACTTTCTTTCTTCTGTGGAACACACACACACAAAAAAACATAATTTGAAAAATGTCTAAAATAAAATAAAATGGGGTTCAGAGCTGTTTTGGACCCACTGACTATCAGTATATGGACGAAACATATGAAACAAAACCAGAATTTTTATTTTCAGCTGAACTATACCTTTAAGAAAAGACAAGCATAAAAATATGAATTATCAAAGGGAAAAAAAACTTTAATTAATGAGATGGTGTTATCCAACTGCAAATGGAGACCCGTTATATATGTTATATTCTAGGCTAAGGGATTTCTGCTGATTTTCTGTAATAAACATCTCAATTTGAGGTCATTTATTCATTTGAGCACTCAATCTGTTCAGAAGACATCTAGTGCCACTTAAGGATTTTTGAATTTATATTCTGCTCCATGTTCAGGGTCTAATCCTGTCATGGCCAAGGGCTGATGGGATGTAAATTACCCATGAATCTTGGCAACTTACTGAGGCTAATACAAGTGAGATGTTGAGTAGCTCTCTATGACAGGAAAAGCCTTTTCAGCATTGTCTATTGAGTTTAAAGTGGTCACTATTCCCGGTAGCCTTTGAGCAGTATCCAGTAATGATTTTTCCATTTACACCAAGAAAATCGATTCGTTTTAAATGGGGTATGCACCTGCATTTACCAATACATTTTATTTGTACTCTTTTTTTTTTTTTTTTAACTCACAACTCAACTCTTGCATAAACTTTAACCTGAACAGTGCTCATAAAGAAATGCTGATGATTAAGAGCAGACTCAGATTTATTTCTAATAATAAAAGACTTCATTTTCACTGGATATGCTTGAGAAGCTCATCGTCGGCCTCAGCTTAAATTAGCCAGTGGGAGAAGAAAATCTCTAAGGAGACTTTTGAAGTTCCAAATCTCTTCATGGGTTGACAATTTGAAAGCACTTTCTCCGCATGTTCTGGCCTCACTCAGCACTTCACTCAGCACTTCAGGATTTTGAACATTTACAGTAAATTATCTATTGCATGGATATTAGGAAGTGTGATTGATTCAGTTCTTTGAGTGTTCAGTATGAGCCTTTTAATGATATGAATCATATGAATCATCTAGAATGTACAGTACAAGGCTCATTTTCAGTACACCATATGTCCACTTTAGGCTTACCATTTGCTACTGACTTTAGAAGTGGCTTCCAAAGTTTATGGGTTCTTACATTAAAACATTTATTAGGTGTCCTTAAACAACTGTTGAAACTTTGTTTGTTTTTCACAGTTCATATGACTGCCTGCTGGACGATCCCTTCAAACATGACTGGCCGCAGCTCCCTGAACTACCTGGCATTAATTACTCCATGGATGAGCAGTGTCGCTTTGATTTTGGAGTTGGATACAAAATCTGTACTTCAGTGAGTATGGCTAGAGGCTATATTCTCCCTTGACAGATCTGATAAATCTCAGTCATTAAACCAAGCACCAAAATGTTATTTATTTTTTTATTTTTTTTATTTTAACTAATGCCTCGTTCAGGTCTCTGTCCAAGGTCATTTAGTTGGAAGTGCTTTAGATATTTTTAAAAATATTTCAATGCCAGGTTTCATTTATGAATGAGAACATTTAAAGAAAGACATGTGTCTGTTATAATATTTCTGTATTAGTTTCTGGCCTTTGAATTACTCAGTTTCAAAGCTAAATATGTTCTTTTATGTTCTGTTAACCCCCCAAACCCTCAGTCCAAAACACTTTCAAGTGTGAAATTAATAGGTGCTGCAAAGTCCCAATCACATGTACGGTGTCAAGGAAAAGACCCTCACACCTGGTTTATGGCCTGACACTGAGAACCAGCAGATGGCAAGATGTTTGGTATTCTGTCATCAAAGGCTGTAACACTAGTAAACAAGAACAGCATGCTGTGATCTTTCCTCCCAGCCTCTCTGTCATGCCTAAACAATCTGTGCCAAGCTGTGCACCACAGCCCAGCAAAAACTTACATACCCATGAAACCTTCTATGACCCACTAATCATGCTTTAAGCAGTTGGTTCTCTGAAGACATGATGATAGTGGCTCAATTGTCAGTGTCGCTAGAAACAATTTGTAATGGGCTTGTAAACAAAATATTTGTTAGCAACTACTTGTTGCTTCTCCCATCTGCAGAGGGACATTTTAATTAGCTCTCTGAGGAGTTTGTTGTACAAAAAAGGTAAGGTGCAAAAAAGCTTATTTATGACATTTAAAATAAAAAAAGTCAGTGAAAGGATAAAGAAACATGCAAACATTAATTATTCACAATAAAAAAGTCAATAACTTGCATTTAAAAAATAGATTGGGTGATTTTCATTTAATGGCAACTTTAATAACATGACAGAAGTATATTCATTAATTGAAATTGGCTTCACCTAGAGTGCAGTGCATAAAAGACATAAAGTCTTGAGCCAGTGACAGAGCTAAAGACAACTGATATCCTTTAGTCCAGTTGCTTGCCAAGAGACTTTAAATGGAAGTTCATTTTACAAAAACAGTCGTCCCTGTCTATGCCTACAATATAATGCCATGTCTCCCCTGGGCACATCCGTCCATTTATTAACCGTATGTCTGAGCCTTTCTACTCCACACGGCATTGCTAATAAGCAGCACTATTTTGGTGAAGTACAGAACTCAGACATGAACCTTGTATTTCAGCTGTCATCTATTAGTTTCCTCTCCCAGTCTTGTATTCCAGACTGCCATTTTAATTATTTGTTTACATTTCTGTTTTTTTTCCCCAAGAAAAAATATCCTGCAAAATACTATTTAGATCCTTTGTATTGCAATATGTGTGTTACATACTCCTGCTGTGTTTAATGAAAAGAAAAAGTAGTGAACAGAAGTGCAGCTGTGTGTGTATCAGCCTCTGAAGGACAACAGTGTAATTTCTGAAATTATCTTCACTTGCATTCCGAATCACATTAATTTGTCATAATCAAACCCCTGTAAATTTAGTGATAAATTACTGTTGCCTTTTTACATTAAAAAAATTAATTTAATTTGGTTAATTGTGACCGATGGTCATGAAAATGACATTATACAACATATGCATCTGATGTGCTTTATACCAGCAAACAACTGTGTAGAAACCACAGCTGAGGTGAATTAAGCAGAATAGCAGCGCGATGCAATAAAAGCCAATAGAACCCAATTATAATCAGTGATTCTGTCTTCTGACAACAGGACAAATGTAGACTGGCTCAAGCTATTGCGGTGCAATGCGACATCGGTCACACCTGGTCAGGGGTGTACATTTCATCTAACAGTTGGGGGGACAATAAACATAAAATTTCTCAAGAGCAATTTTTGAAGGGGATACAAATAATACAGCTAAAATTGTACTTGTAAGCATATGTATACACAGAGGAAAGCCTTACTTCTAATGGTGTAGCAGGGAGACCGTGCCAAATTAGACACCTTCAAGCTGCTGTGGTTGCGCCGCGACAGCGGTCATGTCCATTGTAGACATTACTATTTGTCAAGCAGGTAACGTTATTATTGCTAGCATAGTGGACTCATCGCAAAATAAATTGGCATCATCTGTATTAAAGAGAAAATAATCACTTCATCCTATATTTAAGTGAATAAAATAGCCTTGACAGCCTTACTTACTGGAGTTCCACAACTATTGACTTTGTTCTCTCTCACCGGATTTGTGTTTGTTTAGGTGACGTAAAAGAGGAAAGCAGGCATTTGGACCAAAGCACTGTGAGGCAAGGGAGGGGGAGACTTAAAATTTTTCTAAAATTAAAATGCATTTTTGCCCCGTTTGCGTTGGTGTTGTTTTACTACTTACACAATTATTTAAAGTATAAAACATTGCTATTTACAATACAAAGCATGGTTTTTAATCATATTTTTAGGGGGGACAATCTTCAGATGGGGGGTCCTGTCCCCCCCGACCCCCCTGGGATTTCCACCTATGCACCTGGTGTAGACATAGTGTCAGGGGGCATGCAATGACTGACTCTGAAATACTGATGTATACTTGTTCGTCCCTTCAGCCTGAACATATATGCTCTTTTTTGTTGTGGTATCTCACCTGGCTCAAATGGCACTATCGGACGATAAGAACGTACTCAATGTGTCATTTGCAGTAAACAAAATTATTTTTTTCCATTCTCAGATTAATTTCCTGGGTGTCTAGCAGTAACACTATAGCTTCAGAGTGCCACTGGCAGCCTCGAGGGAAAATCTAAATTTTTTTTCCTCGAATCTCAAGCACGTTCCTAAGAGGAAAATGATTGTCAGGGCTTGTCTCTGGTGGTATTGTAGCTTGGCCAAAAGAGTTCAAAATTCTTTAAAAATTGTCTCGCCATTTAATTCTCTCTAACACTCTCTCTTAGAATGCCAAGCAACCAACCATGGACTGCTTTTCTCTCTCTACAGTTTCGAACATTTGATCCATGCAAGCAGCTGTGGTGCAGTCATCCAGATAACCCTTACTTCTGCAAGACTAAAAAAGGGCCTCCACTGGACGGCACTGAATGTGCACCTGGGAAGGTAATTTAATGTGTCCACATTTTGCTAGGCCTACTTTGTCCTGTTGTTGCCAATTTGATTCTGTCTCACTCCTTCCCCTCATAGTGGTGCTACAAAGGTCACTGCATGTGGAAGAATGCCAACCAAGTGAAGCAAGATGGAGCCTGGAGTGCCTGGAGCAAGTATGGCTCCTGCTCTCGCTCCTGCGGGACGGGTGTCTGCTTCAGAACCCGCCAGTGCAACAACCCTGCGTATGTTATCTACTGTACTCACAGTCATAATTGCTAATGAAGATCACTTGCTCCCTAGTCTACTTTCCATAATCAGATTCAGTCATCATCATATGGATGGTTGCAGTTTCTTTGAAATAAAAAGTACGGTCTAGAAATAAAGCATACAGGCAGCAGGGGTGAACATGTTTGATTCTACCCAATGAGATGAAAGGTCAATCACAACCTTAGCATTCCTCTGATATAAAGGCTAGTTTGTCCTTTATATCAGTATTGTTCCAATAACTTTAATATTTCAAACCAGATAACCTCTGCATTGGGCCTGCTCATTTTACTTGTAATGATAGAGATTTTATAAAAGTATGAAAAGGTCTGATTACCTGTTTACATTCATAAATCTCTTTTATTGAGAAACAACTGCACATGGTGTTTTTAATCAGAGGAGCTGCCATCTTTGCTGTGTAAGTGTAATTTTCTTTTTGAGGAGACAGTATTTTTTGTGCCGGTCAAATGAGTGGCTGCTTCTTAATTTGCATGCATGCTATGAGAATTAAGGAAGCAAGAGAGATAGGAATTTAGATCTTTTTTTATTGCCAGCTCATTAGTGTGCTAGTTTTGAGGAGTGTTTGTTAAGGACTTGTTAAATGGCATTCGAGTTGAGCAGATGCTCGCACTTACAGAAAATATGCATGATTGAACATTTTAAGTTAGGCTTATTAATGAAAGATGCAGACATTAAACTGTTGTAAAAATGTAATACATCTTTTGCGTTCCATCCAAACCTCGATTAGGTTGTCTGAATCCAGATCTAAATATTTTATTTGGTGAAAGAAGGCATAGATGTGTTTCTAATATCTGTTTGTGCCAGACTTGTTCATTGAAGTGAACTTTGTTTTGATTAACCTTGGTTATTGACTGCTTTTTTAAGTAATTCGGTGACCTTTGTTTGAACATTATCTGTTATCTGTTAGTCCATCTAATGGAGGTCAGGACTGTCCAGGGGTGAACTATGAGTACCAGCTGTGTAACATAGATGATTGCCCCAAACACTTTGAGGACTTCAGAGCTCAGCAATGCCAACTTCGCAACTCCCACTTTGAATACCAGAATGCCAAACACCACTGGCTTCCCTACGAACACCCAGATGGTGAGTTTGTCAGATTTTAAAGCAGTGTAATTTGGGGAAGTATTTCCCCAAACAGATATTTACATTCCAGGTTGTTGTGGTATTCCAAGAGCACTAAAATAGAGTGCAACAATGCATTTTAGCAGCCTTGTTCTGGTAGTGTTTCTCCCATAAAAGAGAGAGTGTAATGATTCATATAATGAAATATATTACTTTTGCTGAAACACATTGTTTGGCAGCCATATACAACTAAACTCTAAAATACCTTGTCCCCACCATACTGGTTCATGGCTCTTGCCTGTCTTTTTTGTGTCACATCCAATTTTCACATTGCTCCATGTTTCTTCATGGCTCTTACATGTAAACAGTATATACCGCCATTCTGTCAAGCCCTAATTTTAATGGCGACCAAGTTAGACAACAACAGATTCTCTCTGCCATACATTCACATATACGAAACGGGCACTCTGTGTTTTGAAGGAGCAGGGACATGTGTAGCAAAATCAGCAGAGACCAGCTTAGCTGTCCACACACACACACAGCTTGTAAATGTGTCCTCCCTCCTGGAAGAACCACAACACATCCATTCCATTTCCAATTGTGGTCAAGTCCACTTTCCTCAGTGTGTTCAGCTCAAGAAGTGAAGGCATTTAGAGTGCCCTCACATGACAAAGTGTCATTCTGAGTGTCATTTTTGTCAAACTTTGCGCTTACTGCAGTCACTTCATGTGATAATTTCTGTACATTGCCATTTATTTTTGGGCTATTTCTACATCTGTTATACTTTTGAGTATGATGAGAAATGTGATTTTGAGTAACCCACAAAATGAAAAGCCCACATTGCTCAACACTAAAGCCATTGAGAAATGTCACTAAAAGGCACCTCGCTATTCTGTGAACACTTTCATTGTTTTTCATTATACATTAATTATATTTTCATTATACAAACCTTAATATCACTTAACAGATCACTAGTTCATGAACATTAAAATGTAATTAAAGTATATGAATTAATTTTAGTTTAAAATAAAAAAATATGAATCACTTTATTTTAAAGTATAAAATAATATCTTCTGAGATGCACATAGCTACCTCATTGTGTGTGTGTCTGTGTGTGTGTGTGTGTGTGTGTGTGTCTGTATGCTGGCATTTACAAGTACTAAGATAAGGTAGGATTTTTCTCATGAATTTTAATTATGTGTGCATTATTCAGCTGTAGAATTAATCTGACAGAATTGTGAAGGCATGCTTCATAATGAAGTTACTTGACCAATCACTTCCACAAGGTTTCCTAGTGTTGTCTAAATTACCATGTTAATATTCACACACTATACATTCATTTCATTGTGTTCCATTACAGTTCTGTGCTGTGCTGAAAATAATGTCATCATTTACGCCTGTCATTCCAAACCTGTATGACTTTTTCTTTTCTGGAACATAAAAGGTTTGGAACAATGTCTGGGTGTGAAAATGCTGATATAATTTTCATTTTGCATGAACTATTCTTTTAAACTTTTGTGCTATTTTTCTCTTGACTAAAAATGTTAGGGAGTTATGCTAATGGTATTACAGTATATACATTTTGAAGAGTTTATTCAGGTGGAAAATGTCAGACCTAGTTCAAAACATGGATATCAAGAGTTAAAAAAGCACAGTCATTTTCATTTTACTTGTATATTATATTATACTACTCACTATGCTTGATTATATACAAGTTGTATTGTTTGAACATGATCATGATTTCCAATAACATTATTTTAATTGGATAATACAGCAGACAACAGTGCACATAACTGAGTCCAGCTGTATTTTGCGGTCTTTCTTATTAAATCATATTTCTTTATGTTTTTCTATATTTTCAGCCAACAAAAGATGTCACCTTTATTGCCAGTCAAAAGAAACAGGTGAAGTGGCTTACATGAAGCAACTGGTGCATGATGGGACAAGGTGCTCTTACAAAGACCCATATAGCATCTGTGTGCGTGGAGAGTGTGTGGTAAGTATTTGAGTTTCATTATGGGTTTCAAGTATAGTAGTTTTCATAGTTTTATGCTTCCATTTTCAGATATTAGAACTGGTGCTAGAGTGCTAAAACTTCATTAGCACAAATTAAAATTAATATTGCTAGAATTTTTCACAGTAAGACTTCAGTAATAGAATGGTGTGCAACAAAATAGCTTATTATCATTAGTGAATATCTTTTTTTGAGCATTTGATGCCATGAACTTTGCAAACTTAGGTTGAGGCTCGCCTTCAAAATCAGTATTGTTCTCTTTACAAATCTTTGCATAATTGTTTAATGTTCTACAACAAGAATGGCAGTAAATACATAATTACAAGAGATTGTTTTTATTAAATAGACATCAATCCATTGGCTGGCCATTTTCTCCCACTAGCACAGAAATGGTTATTTTTTACTTCCAGTTTTTACTTTATTTTCATTAAGATATCTAAAACTAATCTGAATATTGGTGAAATAATGTCAGTGTCTGTAGCTGCTAGGGCTCTGTTTTGGGGAATTCACTTCCTGGCAAGATGCACACAGGGCAAACAAAATATCTTCCCTTTTTATTGATTGCCTTAGTTTTGTCCCTAATTGTGCCGCAAAACACCAGCATGCAGTGTAGGGGGACATTACCTTGTCTGACATTAATGTACACATCTGGCTCAATGTACTCACAGACTTGTGTTGACTAAAATGCATGTATGACCAGTTTGAAACTTATCATACACTTCTGAATAGGTAAAAATGAGTCTACACATATTATTAATTTTAATTATAAGTGCAGGCAAATCTGTCACACT